TTGGATCTTAAACTCCCTAAATTGTACAAACGACCGGTTTCAATAGACCGGCGAAATTTCTCATTTTATTAAAGCACTGAGGTTACGACAACTTCGAGTTAAACTGATTTCACGGGTTGTCAAAGAGTCCAGCGATTCCTTTTTCCCAGGTGAGCGCCGACTCATTTCGCTTCAATATTCAGGAATGTTCTCGATCTTTTTACGCTTTCATTTACCTCTCGCCCGACATGTTTTGCACGGCGTTTGGTCATGCGAAACCTCCACGAAACATCCACGCCTCGCGCGAGGTAACTTTATCCCGATTCTAAAAATAACTCGAGACGAATTACCTATGGAATAGGGTGTATATGGGGGATGCCCTCTCTGTCCCCTTTATAGTCTCTTGATGGAATGCTATAAGTATTCCACTGACTAAAATGAGCAGATATCATATATAAGGATTCTTGGCTATATTTTACCTTAGATATCCCTCCAAAGTCATCGTTTTTGTACAATGTTATTGAAGGTGTCGCCATAATCTGGAAAAAAAATTGTCCATACTTCAGACATTGCTTGGCGGTTTGGCACTTTTGCAGGGCCACAAAAAGAGAAAAAGTAGAAAAACGCAACAAAAGGGCGCCCAAGATAGTTCTTAACGAGAAATCTCTGGACTACTAGGACTTTTTAAATGAGATTAATTGTAGTGATTTACATAACACTAGGTTGCAAGATATGTTAACCATAGTCTTTAATACGATGCCGAGATATCTAAGTGGAATGTATCAAATAAGAACTATGACATACGATCTGCGGGGATCAATCACACCTCTTGTTCCCTGTGTTAAGACAACTCCAGGTTTACATTCATTTAGATACGCATCTACAACAACGTGCAATGGACTCCCTGAGGACTATGACATTCTTTAACTGGAGTTCAAATTCAAACTGCGGCAAATTTCGTTTCAGCAAATATAATAATACACTGGGGATTTGATTTCTTTTTCCCATAGTTTTGTATTTCCTCTTATTTTTTCTTTTCATTTTCTACCGCCCTTCATTTAGGATTACTTTTACTATTTTCTTTTTCTCCGTCGCGGAGATATTAGTTTTTACAGCCACTCTGTAAATCCGAGGTTAAATAAAGGTGATGTTATGTTATGTTATGTTACGTTATGTCCGCATGAAAGGCGTCGGTTGGAAATAGGACTGCTCGTGATACAGTTCAGAAAGTCAAGGAAACGTTTACCTTGTGATTTGAAAGACTGTAGAAAACCTCTGTTTGATCAGAATACCTTGTCCCCGCTCAGCTGTAGCTGAATAGAGATACAGAAATGCGTTGCAGCCCTTTTATTACGGCGAAACAATAGACTCACTCGCGCAATTAATGACCGTTTTCTTTACCAAAAATGGTCGTAAATGTAACGCGGATGTTCAGAGTGATTGGGCAAACATTAACATCAATCAAAACGAATCAAAGGCATTGATTGTTTGAGACATCCTCAAGATAGATATGCTATATTGATCGAGGCTTGACAAAGAACCTATTTAGTTAAACACCCGTGGTCCATCAAGTGTTCTTAATAGCTAGGCTGACCACGCCTACCTTGTAGACTTTAACCTTGGTTATTGTGTAATAACTCGTGAAAAACAAAATCAGCTAAGAAAAACGACATTTTATCTTTTGTCAGCTCCGCCCATATTTTCAAAGTTCTAAGTGGCATTATATTCAGTTTGTTCAACCATCGGAGGCGCGGTCGAAATGAGCAATTTTGCAATTTTTCCCACGTCATTACACCTGAATATTAAGCAACTAATGTAAATATCCAGTTTTTCAAAAGAGAAATAAAAGGACAGACTTATAATTATTTTACTGTGAGGAAAAATGAGACGCAATGAAATACCTAACGTGCAATGTTTAAAATGTATGAAGACCTGTTAGCTAAATCAAAACCCATGTGACTTAAGGCGAACCATTTTAAGAAATAATTTTAAGTCAGTGGCAAAACGTGCTGACATTCTATTAAACGCGGATAATTACCTTAAATTTTCAAAGGGGTGTGGCCTAAACAAAGGGATCTCGCTAACATCAAAGAAGACACTTATGTTTTGTTTTGTGTCATTAGAGGCTTCTAGAGAAAGAATCCTTGAATATGCTTTGCAGGATACTAAGATAAGGAACTTAGAAACTAGAAAAACGACGAAGACAAACGAAAACTCGGTTTCGGAGACAAAAGCAAAACTAATTGACTTTGTAGATGATAAAATCTGCTCCCCTGAGGTAGAAATAATGAGAAAAAATTACTTTTTTGTGTCATCCCTTGTAGAAATTATTGTTTTAATTATTTTCCTTCCACAAAAACATGCACCTTTTCAGCTTTTATTTGTATGTCATAGGTCTAATATAGCTGTAACATCTAGAGTCATCCACAGCCAAACGTCAGAGTAGAATTGCATAAGCTGGGTTAAATATTCAATGTTTACTCAGCGCTTAATATCAGTTGTGCTTCATTAATGCAGCAGACAAAGTTCAGTCAAATGGTTTCACTGTGACTTTCCCGACTTTCTCATGCTCATTACAGGATTTACAAGGCCCATAACACATAAGCTTGAGTAGCGTCGACCTGGTTCCAAGATTACATGTGCACCCTCATATTCCACTTGAGAACACACTTGCCATTTCTGCGCATTTTCTTTCAAAACAATGGAGCGCGCTCCTCGTGAGAAAGTATTCGTCAGGTCGGGAGCATTTTCGTGTAATTCCTAGAAAAACGATGATTGAATCAGCAATAAAACTGATTGGTAAGATTGTAACAGTAAATTTTTAATCATCTTCATGCATTACTCTATGAGAAAGAGTAAAGAGAAAAGTCTTGCGATCTCGCTGAGTCGCGGTGAGTTCTCTATAAAACAATTTCCTTGTAATATCTGTGTCAGAACAAGGTTCAAATAAAATATATTTCAGCAGCAAACAGTTTTACTGAGATCGTTGTATTCATCCAGCACGTTTAGGTAGCTGATAAGAAAGCATTTCAAAGCTTTTTATCGACATTAATATCGCGTCAATTAACCACTGATTCTCGTATAAATTTAACCTCTTTTCCTTACCAGCACTTTACCGGCGTACTCTTCGTCTTCATACACTTGCACAACCCCAGGCTGCATCAAAACGAAAAAGAAAGAGATCAGCTATTAAGCAGTATTAATTTCGCTATTAAAGCTCTATAGTACAGCAATTATTTGGATTTTACCTTGTTAAAGATTCTTAGGCTAACGACAGGATTTACCAGTCCCATGGCATCTAAGCTGGAGTACCGTCGTCCTGGATGTAAAGTTACGTGTGCTCCATGAAAACTTATTTTAGTAAACACTTGCATTTTCTCGGCATTTTCTTTCAAAACAATCGAATGCACTCCGTTGGGTAAATTTTCTGTAAGGTCTGCTGACTCTGCAGAATTTTTCTCTAGTTCCTATGAAAAGGGCAGCATGATCAAGTTAACATCATGGTTATGGACTAGTACGGATTACAATCACTTTCACCAAAAGACGTTTTTGCTGGGACGGGGTGGACTAATACAACCTACCAAGGAAAGCATTAAGGTAAAAAAATAATTAGGTTCATCGACCGAAAGAATTTTAGTTTTCAGCATTAGGGAAATTGTTATCGAAACGGTTTTTATAACAGAAATATACACTGCAATTAACTACATGCAAGAGGAAATAGTTGGAAGCCTTACCAGTGCTCTGCCGCCGTAGTCTTCGTTCTCATACAATACCAAAGTCGCAGACTACATAAAAAAGAAAATAAATGCAATCATTTCAATTTAGTGCTCTTATTCTGCGGTAAAAGCTCTAAAAAGTATCTGAGATTCCGCCTGGAGATTACCTTGTCAAACGTTCGCAAGCTCATTACAGGATTTTCTAGTCCCATGACAACTAAGCTGGAGTAGCGTCGACCTGGGTTTAAGATTACATGTGCTCCATTATATCCCACTTGAGTAAATGCTTGCCATTTTGGAGCCTTTTCTTCCAAAATTATCGAGGTAACTCCTTTAGGGAAAATATTCGTCAAGTCTGATTTATCAGTAGTATCTTCACGGAGTTCCTGTGGAATGGAGGTTAGTGCTGTTACGAAATGTCTGACACGGAGAGAATATCGATATAATCACTTTTTTTAGATTGGCTAATCGTATTTTAGAAGGGTTTATGATTGGACGCAATATTTTGTTTTCTGTAGTTAGAAGGACAGATTCAGGCGAACGCCGGGACCACGGATAGTGCAAATAAAACCTCAACACCACTGACAATAACTAAATCCTGATTTCATGTAATAAGACCTACTGAACTGTATCGATCGTTCAACAACACCGTCATGCCTGCCAATCTGTAAATCTGAGAAAATCGTAGCTTACGTATTCTCAAAAATGTCATAAGTTAGCCTCTTCAACCTTACCTCTCCACGCCCTTTACAGTTTTCTTGACCAAACAGTTTTACAGTCCATTTAGCCATGATTCTCTGCAATCAAACAGGGAATACCTTCACTCAAACAAACCACTGACCAAATGTGAGCCAACACTTTTAGAGTCCGTTCAGTTCTACAGAGTAAAGGCCCGGGTACTATGGACTACTTACCTTTGTCAAGTTCTACCGCGTTCTTTCTGCGTGGGGATCCAGACTCTCTAACCTTGTAGCCTGACTGAAATAAGTATGGGATTTAGATTAACCACACCTCCACACTAAGCAGGGTGCTAATTAGCAGTCTTTTTTATTTTATTTTTCGGTAGCAGTACTTAGTAATGCTTTAAAAAGTAGCATTTAAGCATTATAAATTTATTTCGTTTGAGTTTAATGATGCTCTTTACCCCTGTACAATCAAAGATATACTACAATTAATAATAACAATCATCATCATAAAAACTATAAAAAAGTAAGCACAGTAGGTAAAGGAAAGTATTAGGGCTGGGAAACTAAATTCCCATACTAAAAATTGTTTTTTTGTGTGTTTTCTTTCGTTTCTGATACTTGGTTTCTTTATTTGATTAAGAGGTCAAAATCATCTCTCATTATCTTTGACTGAGATGAATTACTGCCAGCAGAGGCGAAAATTTTTTTGGAATAATTTTAACACTGGTTGTCTTTACACTAGGCTGTTAGGTAAGATTTAAGAGCTGGTAAGTTTTACTTACTGCGCTTCTCACAAACATGCGAATTTTGAAGTTAAAAAGCCAAATGACGATTGCGTTTTTCGCTGCCGTCAGTCATCTTAACGGACCTCTTAGGAAACAAAACTTTACTTTAACGGGTACAAAAGGTCATGGCTTGTGATTTGTGATTGGTGGATTTCGATCCGTTTTGTGTATTTCTGTCCTTCAAGGTTCGTTGATTGTGATCGTCATTATGATTGACGGCAGCAAAAAATGCAATTGTGAAGGCGGCTTATGAACTTTAGAGTTCGCATGTTTGTGAAAGGCACAGTAACCAAAAATTCGTGTGTGAAGGCCTAAGTAAAATCTCAAGGAACTTTACTTTGCATCTCATTAACGTCGGAAAGTTTAAACGATTCAAAAAAGTTTCAAGCGACTTGAAAACCATCCTTATGACCGACTTAGCTGACTTGCGGTTACTTGCGGTTACTTGCGGTTTCTTGAGCTTTGAGAAAGGCAAAACATGTCAATCAATCTTAATTATGTTACGTGGGAAAATGGCTTTAAGTCAACAGGAATCGGTTGTGTAAAGACTACCAGGGTAGTCTTTACACAACCGATTCTTGTTTACTTCAGGTTAACTTAAGGCCATTTTCACACGCAACATAATTAAGATTGATTGATATGTTTTGCCTTTCTCAACGCTCAAGAAACTGCAAGTCAGCTAAGTCGGTCATAAGGATAGTTTTCAAGTCGCTTGAAACTTTCTTGAATCGTTTCAACTTTCCGACTTTAATGAGATGCAAAGTAAAGTTACTTGAGATTTTACTTAGGCCATCACACACGAATTTTTGGTTAAGTAAAACTTAGCAGCTCTTAAGTCTTACTTAACATCCTAGTGTAAAAGACAATCAGTGTTAGAAACGTCTCGCCCAAGAGAAGAAACTGTCGACTTGAGAGGTTTGTTTTCGTGACTCAGCTTTGAAAACAAACCTCTTACAGCCAGGGCAGGTCAAGCGTACCCCCCAAGATTGCTTAATGAATTTTTTATTCCAAGGTTGAATCCGTTGGTAATTGTAGATTTCAGTCCTGCATACGTAATGAGCAGTGAATTCACACGCGAGGTAGTCATGAAATTTCTGCCAGCTCAGTTTTCTTAAATTTGATGTAAATGTCTTTAAAACAATCTTATCCATTCAAAGATTTTTAATCTGACCGAATACAGAGGAGTTATCTTGAAAAATTGAACCGGCTAATACCACAAAACAAGACCAACTGACCGACGGACCCAGAATTGTACCTCACACGACTTAAGAAATTACGTAAAAATTAAGGTAACGCAAGATATGTATTTGTATCTGAGGAAACATAAAATAATGTCGAGTTTTTAGAATAAATACTTTCTTCACGCACTGAATGAAGTTACAGTAGTATGGCCGTATGGGGTCATCTTTGGTGACAGTTGGTGGGTGGGATAGTTTGCAACTTGAAAAATTTGAACAGTGTGTCCGTTTGATTTTATTCCAAGGATTTACTTAAAATCTATCTCGACGTGTTGGGATATTTTCTTGTTAAAGAAGGGTTCTTGCTCATAATTAACGAACTTCATAGTTTATTGGCTGCAGATATATATTCCCATGCCTTAAAAGGAAGTTGTAGAGTTTGTAGAAGATGAACCGAAGGAATTATCTTTCGGCGTTTCCTAGTTCCAAAGCATACGATAATATTTGTGGTAAATCAAGGAAATTAACCTTAATTAAAAACGCACCAATAAATGATTCTTGAGAGTGTGGGATGTGTTTGGGGCCTACATTCATGTTTGTTCTTGGAAAATTGCTCCCTTGTTTTGAAAACGGTTAGAGTGACAGTACTCAGTGAGGAAATATCCATTAAGAAATTTAAAACTAGAATTCAGTTCATTAGGTATTCTTGTTCAAACGAAGCCGAGCCACTGAAAAACAAACCACTCAAGATTTGTTTCTTTGCCTAAGGCGAGAATTTCAGCATCATTGCATTGGATGAGTTCCTGTCTTGGTTGTCAGGACTGAAGCACGCAACTACTCAAAGTCATCTTACTATCACGAAGAATTTTTTTAATGACCACATTATTTTCAAAGCTTTTCTCAATCTCTTACAAATTGCGGAAATCTTTTTATGTCGCTGAAGAAGACTCCTGTTTATTTCTTAGACTTGTTAAAGTTATTCATGTTGCCATGTACCCTGGGTACCCTGCCTGGAACACAACAGCTCCTGGGCTATGGAATGTACCTAACGTAAATAAAACTTATAAAATCTAAAATGTTCACATTTTTGTATAACTACAGGCACTTAACCACCTAAAAACAGAATTAACGTGTTTAAAATGTGCTGTGGACGTGATTACGTCGAGACAAGACACTCACTCATGCACCTTAAAATACAGAAAAAATGCACAGAAATTGAAAGAGGAGTCTCAACTTTTCAAGTTAAGCAGTTCGGCAAAATGATCCAACTGAAAAACACAGTCAACTCCCTCTAAGACGGGCACCTTAGTGATGTACGTTTTAAAGAGAGTCAAATAAATGGAGTAAAGAAAGGCAGGGACCAACTCCAGGTGTCCGTTTTACGAGGTGTCGGTTAATGAGAGAGAGTCGACTGACTGTGCAACAAATCTCAGTCTTTGCGCCCCGGTTTCCAATATTAGCAACACGGTGAAGTAGAACCTCCCTTTGGGGTTTCTGTTTTTGTTTTGGAACAAATAGCCTTTATTGATTTAAGGATGAAGACACTTACTAAAGAACACCGTTGAATTGTTTGTATTTCGGAATCGGAGAAAGCAGAAGTTAAGCCAAAAATCGCCTGTCGATATACACGTAGCGTTTATTGCCCTGTAACATATAATCCTGGATAACGAACAATATTCAGAGCTTATTTATGGCTCCAAAATTCCGATAGAGTAGATTAATTTGTTCCCTGCTAATTTGTAGCTATCTTTTTTGGTGCGTTCTTCTTCCCGAAGAATACCGTGCGATCAACTTCGAAGCAGACTAACGCAGTCAGTAGCACCGAGGTGATTTGCGACACTCATTTGCTAACCGACTGACGTTGCAATACTGTTATACGAAATATTTAAATCATCTTCTTGAAAGTGCTTAAGCCGTCGCTGAGCCGTGCACGCTAACAGTTGAGATGCCCTATTTCAGGCGGGCGGAAAGTTAACAGGAAGGCTGAAATATTTAGGAGTAAAAACGTTACTGGTTATTACCCCTGGTGAAAATGGCTGCGTCTAAGAGATTATTGTTTTAATTTTTCACTCTAGATCTTCCCTCAGCAATAAATCTTAACTTCTCGCTTCAGTATATAGATATTCGTAAGTTTTACAGACGATTCGGAACACATGGAGTTCCAAAGCCCTTTACCGTCGATTTTTGCTTAGTAATTTGCTTTGGTCAAGATATATTGAACTTCAATTTTTTCGATGGCGACAGACTCAGTAATGATGCTCAACTATTTCTCGCCCAAGAATCCGCACAACGGAAAGGGCCAATGAATTTACTGACGTACTCAAAAGCGGAACTTTCTGTTAATACTTCCAGTAAAAACTAGCCTCCCACGCAGTCGTTTTTAGGGGAGCTCGTTTTTCATCCCTAAACGAGCTCTCCTAAAAACGACTGCGTGGGAGGCTAAGTAAAAACTGGCTATCATTTCAGTCATTTCGCCGTATACTTCACTAAGGCCCTCGATTTGCTTTGTACTTTTCGTCATAACTAAGGAATATGGTTGTAACAGTCGACTGAAAACATCGCTTGTTTCAGAACCAAATATGTCTTCCTTGTCCTAATAGTTATTTTCAATTGTTTTACATTTACTTTCGTTGCTTTCTTCATTAATAGGAAACAACCACTAAATAAAATAGTGAACGTTATTTGGACAGAATCAGGGACTTCAATACAAGACCTGCCAAGAAGGGTCCTCCATTAGTAAAAGTCAACAAGTCACCTACTAAAACGGTGTTATGATCCAAATAAAGCTACCACAAAAAAATGAAAAATTACTCTTTATTTGAGTTTCTGCAGTGCGAACGAACCCCAACATTTTAATGTAACAGATGTATAGCTCTGACCAAGAGACACGCTTAAGTTTAATCTGATTAAATCAAAATTTTGAGAGAGTTTGTTTTTCTAAGAAAAGATGGTGTTCCACGAACAGGGCCTTGACGGCTAATGATGTAGCAATATTGAACGCGGGGCGGCTGCAACGAGAACGTAGAACTAACAATACGTTTAGCAAGCAAAACAACAACTTCGCACGTGCAGCACTTTTTTGTTCATTTCAGTTTGTCACTAAACGTCTACGACGCGAAAATGCCAAACTTCAGGTTTTATGGAGGACGCAAACACATCACGACGAACTTTTGTTTCTCCTTCTCAACTTGGGTTCGGTCGCCAAGAATTCAATTCCAGGAAAATTCACCTAAATTTGGCATTTTAAGCGAGCCAGAATAACCGCGACAAACTTTGAAAAAAGTGAAGTCTTTTCAATTGTGTCGTTTTCGCTACCGTCGCCGTCGTCGATGCTAAAGCTCCCTCACGCCCAGTTCAGACGTCATGTTTCTGCCGTGCCGAACTAAATTCAGGACTTAAATTCGACAAAAGCACGGCAGAAGCAAGGCGTCTGAATCAAACTTTTGAATTAAGTTTGGCAAGCAATTTTAAAGTTCGACAAGCGCTGCCGTGCTACACGGCTCTGGCAAGGCAGCGATTCAAACGTCGTGCTTCTGCCGCGCTAAGCAAAATTCATAAATTATATTAACGTATTTTGGCGAGATTGCGTTCTCAGGGGGAGTTAGGAGGAGAATTGTTACGAGGCATCAGTAAATCCTGAATTTGGTTCGACTCTGGCACGACATCTGAATCAAAGTTGTTTTCCTGCTGTGCTACAGTCGAACCGAATTACAATTAAGTTCGGCACGGCAGAAGCACGACGTCTGAACTGGGCCTCAGCGAGCTAAGCTTTCGCAGGCTAGTAAAATAAATTCTTAGTTTGTATCGTGATTTGCAGCATCATCTTAAATTCAATAATTAAAACATACACACACACACCCAAAAGCGAAACCATATTCCTCCTCAACGAATTACTCCAATGTGTGGGCTGTAGTCAGAGGGAGAAATGTTGGAAATGAAAGTTATGATGAATGTACATTACCACCGTGTGTGAATGGAGGCAACTGTACTCGTGAAGGAGCCACATTCTTGTGTTCTTGTCCCCAAGACTGGGCAGGTCTTTACTGCAACACTCAGCTTATTCCCTGTTATGGTTACAACCCTTGTGTTACTGGTACATGCCGTCCTGATGGCTCAACCATCAAGTGTGACTGTCCACTGGGAAAAACAGGGCAGTACTGTGATCAAGGTTAGTGGATGTGTGTATTATTATTGAGAGCCTTAAGTATTGGCTGTGATATTGCTACCCTGTGTGGTGGCTGGCTCTTAATGTAAGACAAGAAATAGATGTGCTGTGTTGTGTTGTGTGCCAAATTTATGCCACTCTTTCTTCTCAACAAATCAACAACAGTTTTTCATCATCTATACTCCCTCTATATCTTGGAAAATAATATATATATATATATATATATATATATATATATATATATATATATATATATATATATATATATATATATATATAAAAATGATGATCACTTAGTGTGTGAAACTCCGACTTACAACTCCATTATAACGTCTATCCTTTTTTATGTCGAAAATAAAAACATTCAAAATTGAAGAACAAGACTGACAGAGAATTATAATATGTATTCATCATCATTATCATCTTTTAAAAGTCTCTGAATCTTACTTTTTTTATTCACAGGAAAAAAAGCACAAGTTTTGTTTTGACAAATGCTCAAGACTTGGGGAGTCTGTTGATGTTATATTGAGCTTGTTTTTCTGCTGTTATTTATTTTGTAGATATAACAATACAAACACCGCTGTTCCAGAATTTTTCATACATGATGTTTACCAAGACAAATGTCAGATCATCAACGCAGATCAGCATCAGATTTAAACCAGCAGTAAGGAATGGCATCCTGTTTTATGTTGCACATGATGAGCAGAGTATAACAGGAGATTTCCTCTCCATCTATTTACACAATGGGTAAGAAGAACACTCTGTCAATTACTGAGACATGATTCAACTGCCCTTTTACTTTGCTTATTGAAAAATTCTGTTAAACTCTAAGTTGGCCTTGCAAGGGTCTTGGGTGGAATCAAACCAGGGTGCTTACATGTATATGCATGTGGGCTAAAACAGTTTAGTGTTCAGTAATGTGCTAGTAAAACAGTGAAGTAACAAAAGACGTTTTTTTCACATTGTACAGTTGACTCTCAGTATCTCGAACTCCTGATTGCTAGAATCTCCTTCAATCCTAAGTTTTCAATTTCCATTAAATGTCTGAGTTATTGGAAGTGAACTCTATGGGCCATTTCAACATTCTAGTTTAGCCGGACTTTAACAAAGCTGAGTACTAAGCCATTACTAGTTTGCCCCTGACACTTCTATCTAAACACCATTTCCTGCAAACAATTTGAATAAATTATAGCAGATAGTGTAAACTGGAAAGACCGACTAAAAAGAGATCTTTAGGTTCTATGATTTCTTAAAGAAATATGGTCCAATTTAGACTTCTTTTAACTAACCGACGCTTTTTTTTGTCGGTTAACAAACACCCAGTGTCTAGAAAAAGTAGAGGAGGAAAAATCTTATCTCATTTTTGTGTAGAGTTGCTGATCATCAGAATCTTTTTTCCGTCTTTTTTTTTGTAAGTGGTGGGCTTGTTTAAAGGCAGACCTTTAAAGTATTGATAAAGTTTTTTTTTGTTCGTTTATCTACATGTACTGAATATAAAGGTGTCTATATTGCCCGTTGTCACATCTCTATCAAGTACGTCTGAACTGTAAAAATCTGATCCAAACCTGAAAAAAAAAGGTCGTGGCCTTATCGACAGTATTCAGGACATTTGATTGATTTAGATTCGTGTGAATTCTTTTTTTGTTGTTGTTAGATTTGTCAAGTTGAGGTATGATCTCGGCAAAGGAGTTGGTGAAGCTAAGAGTAACTCAACAGTAATCCTTGACATGTGGCACAGTGTAACAGTGAGTCGAAATGCTAAGAGCGCATCTCTGAGTCTGGATGGGAACCCACCTGTGAGTGTTGTATCTCCAGGAACTGCTGTGGCTCTTGATGTTAATTCCAATTTCTTTCTGGGCGGGGTACGCAAGTTATCCACTGTCAATCCTAATGCTGTTGATAATGATCCTGCTTCAATACAGGATTTTTCCGGTTGCATTAATCAGTTGGAGGTATGTGTGATTACTTTGCAGTCTCTTTATTTGTGGTAGCCTGTACCAGGCTCCAAGATATCAGGGGCACCCAAAGAGAGTATAGTTCAAAACCACTTAAACATAGCTTGTTAAACGTATTTTAGTATTTAAACGGTAGTTATGGGCATATTTTTATCCCTTAAAAATTTTTCATCTGTTCAGATTTCCTAGCTGAAAGTCTAGTGATCCGAAAATTATAGGGATCAAAACTTACCTCCCGAAAATTCTAGGTTACCTTTTAAGGGTAAAAATCCGTTTAAAATGGTCAATTGTACCATTTTTTAGATTGCGAAAATTCTAGATCTCAAATCGTCTTCCGAACAGATATTTTCCAAAAATTGACGTTGAGTGCTCCTGAAGATATTAGTGCAGTCTTGCCCCTTCCCCAGCTCGTGGGTGTCTTATTTTCACTTGGCTTGTTTTAATTATTCTCGCAACGTCTGTCCCCACCATCTGAGAGGCTGGCACAGGATTTATTTATGGGTAAATGGTATTTGTAATATTTGTTTTTGTTTTAATAATAAGGAGCTTAAGCAATGACGACGGTGACGGCAAACTTCCTTGGAGTTGGATTCTAAAAGTATCCTCATAATTCGGGAAAAGAAAAGGAAAATTGTTGTTTTGTTTTCCCGTCCTCGACAAAACGTCAGAACGTGAAATTAGGCATTTTCACGTCGTAGTCGTGCAATGACGGCAAAGAAATGTACAAAAAAAGCATGATGCCGTGCAAAGTTGTTATTTTATCAATGTAAACCTATTGGTTTATTGCCGTTCTCGTTTTCGTCGCTGTCGCCGTTGCTTAAGTTTCCTGTTACCACAGTAATCATTGCAGGTCATCAACTAGCAGTGACATTGTTCTTTCCCTTCTCCGCTGAATTAACTGTCAAAATTAATGTCAATTTTCTATTGTTCTCTTTAGGTCAATGGTATCTTGTACTTTCAGTCCAACACCAAAGCCTTGGAAGGAAGAAACATAGCAAACTGTCCACCAGAGTCAGTAGCTTAAGGAGAGGAGCCATCAGCTATTTTTACACGTTAAGAAACTATTATTTAACTCATGGCAAACAACAGTGTTGTATTATTTACATAAAACTTGAAGCCCGAATTAATTTATAAATTAGTTTTAAATGAAAGGCCAGTTGCTTTTATCAGTGCTGCAATTGATTACTGCTAGCATTAGATGTAAGGCAACAATATCAAATGTAACAAGGGACTGAGTCACTTACAGGCTTTGTTGTTTTATATTATTCTTTAAACTTTTCTTTGGTGTTATTTTACTTTTGTATTTAAGTGACGATCACCGCATACCAAGCAATGTGATAGACTTATTCTGACATTTGTCCCGTGGGACGCCTAAAAGACCTTGAGTAGTTTTAAATTTCGAGTTTTAGATATTTTTTAATTTCCACTGTAAGCTTTTTTTACTTTTTATTAATTACGTAATTACTTAATCAACATGGTTAATTTTTGAGGGCCCCACTGAAAACCGCCAAGGCGAGTTGGGCCCCCTCTTTAAATATTATTAATTATTGTTATTATTATTATTATCATTATTTGTTATTATTATTATTATTATTATTATTATTATTATTATTACTATTATTGTTAATTTTTTTCTGTTACTGTAGTCTGTCCATAAGTCAGAGATTACTGCTTGTGCCCTCTGAAAGTAGCATGAATGTCAAGAGTTAGCAGGAAATTGGGAACCAGTACTAAAAACGCACCATACACATTTTAAAAATTCCTTCGGCTTCCTCTTCTTTCTATCACCTCCTTTGAAGGGAAGTTTGTAAATAAATCAGAGTAACTATCTTGAGACAATAGAACCTCTATTAACTGGACTCAGACATCCTTGATACCCTCACATGTAGCAGTGATCGCTGAAAAGTACATTAAGAAAAAATATCTTGACTCGCTCATGCTCGTTTACGTAACAGGGTGTCTTAATATGAGTGCGCTTATGAATTAATATACACTTACTGTAATCAGCAACAACTTTTGTACAGATAATTAAGGTGGTGATTTATAGTTTTATAGTGTATTTTTTATGGTAATTAACTAGCTTGCATGAGTTTACTGTAAGCGCTTCTAGTCGTTTCCGATATACAATTTTTTTTATATTACCCTAGCTTGCTCATTACAAGAGAGTGTTGGAGATCAAGTCACACCCACTGTGTGAAATGGTTACTATTTTTCTCTCATTTTGCTTTCTACTCAGTGATTAAAAAGTAGAAGTCATGAATAGCAGAAGAAATCTCAAGTATTACGGTTGAGAGTGATCTATATTGATGTACAGGAAAAAGGCTTTTTTTCATTACGTTTAATATAATAATCATTGATGAAAATAGATGATGTAAATGATATCAATAGAAATGTATTAATATAATGTATTTTGTATTGGGGATGGACCTTTTGCCGTCGTAACTATAGTGACGTTACAGTCCTGAGTGGAATTTGTTGCCGTGATAACCTACCCATATTTTTGTGGTTTTACATGGCCAAATTAAATCTCACGAACGCGCGGTAGCAGCGGACACTTACAAAAATTATAACAGTTCTTTAGAACAGACCATTGCGTGACATCCTGAATGTAAGTCGCACGAAGTTTGATGTGCGAGATTTCTGGTCATGATGATATGGCTAGCAGACACTTAATTTATATATTGATGGTAAAATGATTAAATTTCCGTAACTGTTTTACCTTACAGTGTCTGGAGTTTTCTGCCTTCTCGGCTTTTGCTGTGGTAATATCATTAACTTTTTGGATGGGGAACTTGCAATTTTTATGAGCAGACAGTTATCGAGAGGTGGAGTCGGCTTGAGTCCAAAGTACTGAAAGTCGGGAGTAAACCTTCTAACTGTTTTAGTAATGTAATACCAGTGCAAAGTCAAGAACAATTTTTCGGGATAAATTATGTTCCTTCGCGCTATCTATGAGCTGTTCCGACATCAATCAGATTAAGGCTAAGTCCAAATACACTAACAACATCGTAGTTAAAGAGAGAAAGAAAGGACTGGTTCGCGTGATGTCATGAGCCATTCACTTCATCGTCCTCAGAAGACGATTTTCGTCTTAGTTTTTTCAGATTTTGGGGCCTTTGGTTCCAGTTGATTTGGCACAATTAAGAAGAACGCGTACGAACTAGTAAACAAACCCATCTTCTTTTATGTTGTAAATTTGCTGGTTGCGCCAAATTTTAAAATACTTTCGATGAAGCTGATTCAGCCTGGACGTATTTCAATTTTGTTCTTCATTTTTTCAAATGAGATTTCCGGAGGCCAACGGAGTGGGAAGAGAAGGGCAGTGGCCAGCTGCGGGGTCACGTGGGAAGAGGTCATGGTTCTGTGCAGCACAAACAACTAAACAAGATTAGTTTGAATTGTTTGTTTATTTGTTTCGGTTTTTTGTCCTATATGGCTGAACACCTTAGGTATTCTCTACGTTACAAAGTGATTACAATGGTTAATTATCTACTATCTGTCTAATGCTTCTAACAGTATCCAAGAGCCCCATTTCATTTGGAGTTGGGTACTCCTGGCCTTGCATCAAATCCTCAAGGCCGGGATTTCCAGCATAGTTGACCCCATCGAAAACCCGCCAATTTCCAGCATTCGCGCCCACCTGGATACTTATGACACCATTGGGAAAATGATTTGTCAGATCGGGGTTGTCTTCATAACCTAAAAAAATGAATAATATGTGAGGCTAGTTTGTAGCGAAGACAGTTAAGCTCGAACGTGAGAGGTATAAACCTGCCTCGTCTATGCTATAAAATACTTTGCACCGACTAAAATCTCTCTTGAAGTACTTTGCCTATTCTAGAGAGCTGAATTCACATATTAAGAGATTTAAATACAGTGCATAATAACTTAGCACTGAGCATACAACTTAACTCCAATAATATGAACGGGAAAAGTGTATCGAAACGACGTTAATCCTCATTTAAACAAAAGCAAAAGAGAACAAGTTCGAGGTTAAATCAAACGAATTAACGAACTGTAGTTTTTAAGATGTACAAATATTGCAACAAGAAACAATAGAAAACTAAGTAAAAAGTTCAGTAAGCAGGGCTAAATGATGAAACCCCCACTGAAAACCTCTAAAGATCACAACCAAGACAAAGAAAAAACCTCTAACAGGGTCACTAAGCACCAAGGGAAACACAAAACATTAATTACAGAAAAGTCAAAGTCATCAATTAAAATTTGCTTCAAAAATTCCATAATTTGGAGCCTCAAGATTTTCACGTTAACTACCCGATTATTGACACGCTGTTTTACCTGTGCTATATGTATTTGAAGGTCCTCAATGTCGTACCGCAGTTTTACACTGTTAGCCGGAACCTGCTGAGCCATAATCTGCGATCAAAACGGAAAAAACTGATTAGCTTTTATCAAAGAAAACAGATGATTCTTTTTACGAAGATCGAAAATAAAATGTTTACCTTGCGATTTTAAACGTTTGTAGGAAACCTCCTGTTTGACGAGAGGACCGATCTTGTCTCCGGTTGAGCAGTAGCTGAACTGAGAAATATCATGTTATATGAAGCCCATTTATTACTTTACAAACAAAGGAACTAAATCGACACACCCAATTTTATTCAATTCTATTTCATTTTCTTACAAAAAAGCGAAATGTCAAAATAATAGAGTTTTTCATACATTACATCTGCCAATCGTAACATTGTTCAAAATTTGACAATGAACGTGTTTGGTGAAGCAACTCCTTTGTCCATCAGGTGATCAAAGGTGTGGCCGTATGGAGCAATTTTCCGCATCACATTGTTACCAACATCCTGTGTTGCTTTCACTTAAAAATAATTTAAAAACTAATGGATTTTTGACAGACAATGCGGCAAAAGCTAAATGTCCAGTTTGAGGAGAGGGAAGTGAAGGGAAAATGGTTATTGGCCTGTCTTGATGTGTTGATAATGATGAGACGCATTGAATTACACAACGTACAACGCTTGCCGCCCCAGTTAACAAAACGAACACAATTGTTCTTAGTTTATGAAAAGGTGTGGCCTAAGCAAAGAGATTTCTGGAATATCAAAACAAGTCGCTGATAACAGGACCAATTATTAATCACAATGCCTGTTCCCACGCGTTTTGGTTGGTTTATTTTTCCCCTTCTGCTTGCAACTCCATCAATTTAGTTTCTTCTAGATCATGGACCTCGGAGCCTCATAAGTGGAATTGGAACTCGAGAACATAACGCTCTAAACCTCTGTTTATGATTGTTCAGTCACCAAGGCCAACCAAGAAAATTGTCCTTTTTGCAATCTGAAAGTCGTCAAAGCAGGAAGGTAAATTCAGTTTATTAACTAATAGGTTAAGTTCAAACGAAGCCGAGCCGAGATTTTTTTTCTTCCCTCTTATTGGAGGATTTTAGCATCTCCACAAGTTCCTGTCTGTTCTAACAGGTCTAAAGCACGCAACAGTTTAACCAACTTTGTTTAATCGCGGGAAGTTTTTTAATAACTTCATTGTCTTTTCATGCTTTTCGCATTCTCTTTCAAATTGTGGACAGTTTTGTAGCCCGCAAAAAGCATCCTGTTTATTATTTTCTTGCACAGATTTATTTAAAGCTATTACTGTGCCCATGGTGGGGGACAAGGAAAAATTATAAACATAACTTTATCGGCCGGGGTTCACCGAACGGTGTCGCAGCGTGTGTTAACTTCCCTGTACCATTGATGACAGCTCCTGCAGACGGTTCCGCGCTCCTAACCTGCTCGATATGATAAGTGATACACACTTCAGTTTTCATTTGATTCGTATTTGTATTTTATTTGTCACGCAGTTAAAATTACAATTGGAAAAAAAAGATACAAAAATGTAGAAAGCAATGGCGAGGAGGACAGTAGCCAATGTAATTAGGCCTCCTCAATTACAATTTTTTAAAGACGTTATAAAAATTAAGGGCGATGGATACAATTATAAAAGGACATTAAAGCAACAATATATTAAGAAAGTTCACAAATGTTGAATATTAAACAATTTTTC